ACATTTAAGCGTACATGGTAAACAAGTTGAAGGTGGTTTGTTTAAGCATGGGGCGGCTTTGTGGGCCGCCTTTCCCAACACTCATGCACTTTTAACCATACACGGTAAACAAGTTGAAGGTGGTTTGTTTAAGCATGGGTTTTCCCCCACACTCATGCACATTGTTTGGACAAATTAAGAGACTCAGGAAGATGTAAAAGATGTAAATGACTGAGATAGCAAACGTTTCCTGACCTTGAAACGAAACTTCAAATTATGGAGATAGCGCGGGGGCTTGCATTAGTTGCAACACCGCGCCTGACCGTGAAACGTAACTTCAACAAATAAGAGAGCGCGGGTGGTTTTGCATTAGTTGCAACACTGCATAAATGATCGTTCATAAATGTACATATGCTGTATAATATACGTATATATGCGTCCAATATACATCAATATACGCCCAATATACGTCAATATACGCCCAATATACGTCCAATGTACGTCCAATATACGTCCAATATACGTCCAATATACGTCCAATATACGTCAATATACGTCAATATACGTCCAATATACGTCAATATACGTCCAATATACGTCAATATACGTCCAATATACGTCAATATACGTCCAATATCCATCAATATACGTCCAATATACGTCAATATACGTCCAATATACGTCAATATACGTCCAATATATTTGACAGTTTTGCTGCTATATTGATTGTTTTATATACGAGTTTTCTTTGACAGGTGTGTTTCCGCGATCGCCGTCGCAGCCAAGCCACCTTGGTAGTCACCGTGTTTTCTTAGTCATGCTCAACTACGGCTACGTGACTAGCATGACATGGGAGAATTTTCGCGAAGACCAACTGGCAGCCATGATTGAGTGGCAAGGCGAATTACCAGCGAAACAGAGTCATCGTTATCGTCTTGGAGGCAACACGCACTTAGGATGCATTGTGGCAGTCATTGTAACAAAACCTTTAGTTTTTCAATGGTAGACTACTCCGGTGTTGCATCTTCTACCAGAATGTAAGTTTGTTCATAACATTTCATAACAACATCAAACATATAGTTTTTTCCCTGTGTCTTCAAGGATCTTTTTGGAGCTGGGCATTCGGGGCAGCTTTGTTCCATTCCAAGCGATTGAAGAGCAAGTGTACGAGCACTATGACATCTTCGAGCGGAAGACGACTCCATTATCCATTGCGGTTGCGCGTCCACCCTCGGGAGTTGCTCAGAAGATTTACCATTTGGTCCGCGATGGGAACTATGTAGACATCAAGTCCTTCCAGGGAGAATTTGTAACCAGGGTGAAATATCACGGGAGTGCACAGGTTCAAGACTTCTTGATGTGCTGCATGGACGCTGTGGACGACACCGTCCCTCCCATCGATCGACGAAACCAGATGCGTTTTGTGGTGAACGGTACACACTTCATCTCAAATGGTGAGTGGCGTGATGAGGTTTCAAAATGTTTTTCGCCAATGAGTGAGGAGGCTGTGCCGCCCAAATCCTCCAAGGCAGCGCCCAAGAAATCTCCCAAGCCGGCGCCCAAGAAGTCCTCGAAAAAGAGACCGGCTGCTAATCAGAGCCATGGTGTCAAAAAGAGGCCAGCCATGAGCTGAAAGAATCATGGCACTTGGGCTTGCCGCATTTGAATACCCTTCAAGCGGCTCAGTGGGCCGAGCCTTGTGCAGCGGCCTTGTGGGCCGCCAAAAGAGGGCTTTTTGATTCAGGTGGACAGCGCCAGCTGTCCCCAATGGAGGCTCTCTTCTGGAGAAAAAAGGCTGAGAAGCATTAAACAGAGTTACTGTAAACTACATCATACAATCACGATTGTCATTGTGACCATCATGAGAATCATGAACATGAGCCTCATCAGCATTATCATTGACACCGTCAAGACTATCGTGACAGCGCTACCAGTGTATGCGTTTTTTGTTTTGAGTTTTCTGGTCCGAAAAGAAAGCGCATCGTTCCCTTCTCTTTGACACTCATCATGGATGCAGAACCTACGCCAACCCTTCAGCAGCCGGGCGAGTCACAAGTCAATCCATCTGTCCAGCCAATCTTGAGTGACGAGAGCCAGCGTCTTATGAGAGAATGCCCAGAAAACCAATTGGGCATGGACACTCCTGAGAAGGTTGGAGAGGAGCAGGTTGAAGAAGCAGAAGTGAGTCAAACTGCCAAGGTCGACTCTCTGGTTCTCATGGACAGCCCTCCCAAAGATGAGGAATTGAGCAAAGTCGTTTGCCAGAAGTGCCAGATGGAGGTGTTTGTGTTCGATGCCCAAGCCAAAGGCAAGACTTGGTGGTGTAAAGCGTGCAATGCCATCAACTCGACACTCCGTCGAAACCTCACATGGCCACCTCCAGAGTTTGCTGCTCTGACCACCGAAGAACAGGTTCAATTTTGGCAACAGTGCCGTGCCATGAGGGAAGAAAGCACTGATGGACGACTTCGGTATGATCGATTGCGTGATGTGCTGGTCAATAGCCTTACCATGGTCAAGACCAGTGAGCTTGCCAAGAGCAGCAAAGGCACTTATCTGCCGTTGTCAGTGTATGCGCAGCAGCTTGGCTGCCTTTGGCATTCGTTTCTTCTGTTTTGTGTTCCATGGATGGCAGTAGTTCATTTATATAGTATATATAGTAAACATAAAACAATTTGATGTATATAAAGAGACTTTTGCAACATTAAAACAATCAAGCCACAGCCCAGGAAAGGATACAACACGAACCAGATCCAGGAGAACGCGCCACAGATGTGGGATCCAATCTTGCAGGAAAAGACCTACATGCTCCCGGTGACGTCTTTGCAAGAGAAAGAGGTGAAACAAAGGATTGAGAGCTCTGTGGCTGCTGCAGAGCGAAGTGTCCGCAAGCGTAAGGTGGACCACCAGCCTGAGGCAGCCAATGTTACAGGCGCTATGATCGTGGATCTGTTGAGCGACAACGAAGACGCGCCGGACACGGAGCAACCGATCCCTGAACCCGAACAAGAACTTACAGCTAAACAGTTGGAAGCCCAAAGGAAGAAGGAGGAGAAGGCTGCTGCACGCAAGGCAGAGCAGGAGCGCAAGAAAGAGAGCCAGAAAGAACGTCGTGAGATGCTGAAGATGAACAAAACCATCGTGAATTTGGCTGGCAAGGCTGTGGTGGAATTGCAGCCTCTGTGCGTGGAGCTGCAGCAGACCTGCGCTTCTGGAGATGACAATTGGCCAGACCTCTTGAAAGAGAATTTGGTGCAAGAGCGCGATGTCCTGCTTGACTGGAAGAAGGCGGCGGCTGCAGCTTTGCAAAAGCATGCCAAGAATTCTGAGGCCAAATTGGAAGCTCTCCCGTTCAAAGACAGCCAAGAGATGATGGTCAGGGTCAAAGCAGCAAAGAAATTTGTTCAGGATGCCAAGTCAGCCTCTTCCAAGAAGAGGAAGAATAAATAAAGGCATCTTTTTGATGCGGCTTAGCGGGCCGCAACTTAACAAGCTTCGCGTTGCCGCGGCTTTGTGGGCCGCATGAAATGGCTTCAATGGCCGCGGCTTTGTGGCCGCTTGGTGGTTGCGGCCTTGAAGGCCGCCGCCTGGCTTTTTTACCTTGCAATCATGCAGCGACAGGTTCTGTATAGTTCGAACCAGGTCATAATGAGGTCATATGACGACGTCTGAGTTGCATGGATGAGCGTTGAACCTGCGCGCAGAACGAAAATGTCGATCGTGCGAAAGCTTCTGCAAGCCCAGCGCTCACCAGGAGCTTGTTGACGTTCACAGTTGGGGTAGCCGGTATAGAGTAAGGCATGGCGCACAGACATGGGTTCTAAACTTCGAATTGTTCAAAAGGAATTCAATCCTCACCAAAAAATGTATCTTATTGCAACTGCATGTATGCCTTTTAGGTTTGGGCCTGCATGAAGTCATCACAAGATGTTTCTTCATGTGATCGCATGTTTTCCTTGTAAAGGGGAGCCTGCATGCCCAAGTCTCGAAAAACTAGCCATGGCCATGAAGATGACCTTGTGCTACGCGAATGCTTGAAAGTGCCAGGCTGCACTGAGAAGGCGTTGCATGGCATTTTGCAGATTGCTCGCCCAGAAGTGATTCCCAAGTCTTACTCAGGTTACAAGCGCAAAGTCCACAAAGAACTACCACACGATTGCACAGTAAAACTGCCAGTGGGAGAAAACAAAGATGGACAGATGATCCATGTAGCTGTGACTCACATACCAAAGTTCTTGCAGCATTTGGCATCCCAGAATGGTGCCTTCGCGAGGAGACTTGTCCACATCATTGACAGGTCTAACGGAGAGTCCTTCAAACCTTTGTTTTATTGGGATGAAGTGATTTCAGGAAACCCGCTAGCACCGCATTCTTCCAAGAAGATTGCCATTGGATACTTTACTATGGTGGAGTTGCAGCAGAGGCACAAAGAGGAAAGCTGGATCCCGTTGCTGGTGGCGCAACACAAAAGCTTGGAGACAGTGAGCGGTGGTTTTTCCAGAATGATGCGAGAAGTGGTTTTGTTGGTGCGATCTTTTGATATGCAACATGGCATTCCCTTGGAACTGGATGGGAATCAAAGGCTTCTTCGCATTGACATCATGAAAGCAAATTTCATTGCAGACTTTGATGCCATCAGGGCAACGTACAATTGGAGAGGCAGCGCTTCGATCAAAGCGTATATAGCGTGCAAAAACGTGTACAAAAGAGATTCCAATCTTGTTGATGGTGAGAACTATCTTACAGAAATTTCGGAAACCAAATGGTCCAAGTTTGATCTCTGGAGTGACCAGGAAGTTTTTGAGCTTTGGGATATGATGGCTCGAGACACGCCCACAATGAAAAAAAAGGACAAAGAAAAATTCGAGAAGCTTGCTGGCTTCAATTGGAATCCAAATGCTTTGTTCGCTCACGCTGAGGCCAGGGAAATTTTGAAACCAAGTGCCGTGCTTTTTGATCCAATGCATATTTTCTGGGCATCAGGTGTGGCAGCTTGGGAGGTTGTCAACTTGATGTCAGTACTTGCGACCAAGTGCAATTTTACTTGTGAAGATCTAGCCGGAAAAATTCAGGGCACCCCTTGGTGTAGTAGTACGCGAAAAGGGCAGTCCTGGCGAAAGAATTTGGCTGATGCACAAAAGTTCTCTGGTGATGCTTACCGTGGCTCAGCCAGTGATTTGAGAATGCTCATTCCTTTGATGCTTTATCACATCATGGAGTCAATCGACGACACTGAGCCTGTTCAGGCTGAGCTTCAATCCTTTTATGCCCTGGTTAAGCTTCTGGAGATTTTGGCCAGCTTTCAATGTGGGATCTCGAAAGTCAAATGCCAACAACTTTTGAAGCAAACCGAAACCTACTTGGAGCTTTACCTTTTGGCCTATGAAAACTGCAAGCCAAAGCACCATTACCAATTGCACCTGTGTGACATGATCTGGCGTACTCAACTTTGTGTGGACTGCTTCCCACAAGAGGCAAAACACAGGACGTATAAGTATCAACTTCAAAACAGGCTGGATGGGATGCTACATGATCCATTCCTGTTTTCAGAAGGCGTCTTGACGCGTCTTTTGAACAGCCACTGCCGCCTTTTCGACAAGCCGTGCTTGCCTGGTGACCTCACACCTCCAGTATCTGAAAGTCAGAAGCTTGTAGATGGTTCGATGGTGTCTGTGCTAGAAGGCGCCGCTTTAGATCTGGAAGCAGGCCGTGTCTACAAAGATGATTTTGTGATAAGCCCGCGTGGCAGCGGTTTGGTACGAGCTTGTTTGAGATTTCGCGATCGCGCTTGGGTGCACATCGACCTCTACGATAGAGTTTTTTGGACCGTGGATTAGCAAGTTTTCCACCATTTTTCCTCATCGACCTCCATATATACCATGAAATTTTTCCCCTGTTCTATTAGCGGCCCCCAAAGCCGCAGCGGCCCTCAAAGCCGCAGCGGCCCTCAAAGCCGCCGTATGATTGTTGTTGTGAACAACATTCGTTGATCATCTTCGCACGCGTCTAGACAAAACCATGTATATTATAGACCAACATTTTTCGTCTTAAATAACTGAAGTAGCTTTGACGGTCGCTGCGGCTCTGGGGGCCGCAGCAACAAAACCTGTGTTTGAAGTGATTTCGGTTGAATGGTTTCATTTCTCTGTCCCACCGCCAAGGTTGAGAGCTGGGCTTGCAACAACGTGACCTTGTGGCGCCCAAAGGGCGACACGAAACTGGTTGCTGATGCGGATTTTTCCAGCGCTTGGCAAAAGCCTAGCCACTGGCACAAACGGCAGGACAACAGCATTCTCCTTCTCTGCTGACGACTCAATTAAAGAGAAAACTTGCCTGAAGTTATTTGAAGTTACAAACACTTACAAAAACTTACGGTTGCTCAGATTTTACTAAGTAAGATATGTTTTCATAACTTCCATCTAACTTCTTGTAAGTCTGATATCTACTTATAAGTTCGCTAAGTATAAACGGCCCTCGTTGTCCTGCAGCGGCCGGAAGAAGCCGAAGGCGCCGTGGCACGTGTCCACGTGAATGTTGGGATGGCGTTGCCGCATCCGGCAGGCCAGCTGTCCTGTCGGCAAGGCGTACAGCGCGCGGAGACCACGGCCCACGGCCACCTGGATGAGGTAGTCCACGACAAAGGTCTTGCCGGTCCCCGGCGCGCCCATGCACAGCAGAATGCTGTTTTGTTCTTCCAGTTCTGCGGCCAGCCGCTCGACCTCTTCCGGACTCTCGGCATCTCGGAAAGCCGACACTGCATCGAGGCGCTGCAGCGCCTTCTCCTCGAACAGCCTTTGGGCCCGATTGAACTTGGGCCGCGCCACCACCGGCGGCGGTGCGCCGAGGATGCCGGCTGTCGCGTCCTCGGGATCTGGAACTTCATCGTCCAAGGAGAGCTCGCCGTTCAAGTACTTCTCGACGATGCGGGCCTGGGCGGCGATCATGGCCAGGGCATTGGCGATGTAGTTGTCCTTGTGCGCCGCCAGCTCCAGGTGCGCCCGCACTTCGGCGGCATCGCGCCAGAACTCCGGTGCCGCCCGCAGAGCACAGGCGAAGAGCCGGTACCGGGTCGGCACTCGCTCCAGGATGTCCTCGGCCAAGAAGGCCGCCGCGGAGCGAAAGGGCACGTGCAGCAGCAGCCACTGCCCGAAGTACTTATCACTGAAGATGGTGACCATCTCGGCCGCTACGACCTTCTCCCCGAACGTTTTGTATTGGGACGCAAAAGCGCCCAAGTCCAACGCCGTGTCGGCTGAGGCATGCGCCCTTTGCAGCCAGTGGATGATGTCGCCCTTGTCGTTGGTTTTTCGCAAGTACTCCAGCAGGGTCATGCGGTCGTCGCGCCACCCACAGTTCTCGTAGGCCTCCACGAAGTTGGGCATCTGCGGCATCCCTGGCCAGGGGGCAACGATGGGCTTCATGGTGCCGCCGAGCACGAAGGAAGGAAAGACTTGCGGGAAGAGCGTCAGCCACATCTCCGGCTCCGACGGATGGAAGGTGGAGAGAACCCGGAACGCAAGACCATATCCGGACACCTGCGCATCTGAGAGCAGTTCGTGGCTGAAGCTGCTGCTGAACTTGGTGTCATAGGTTGCCACGTAGCGCAGCATCAGACTGCGGCCTTTGTCGGAGCGTGCTGCTTGGGGCATCAGGTTGTCCACGTGGCACTTCAACACATCCAGCTCCTCGGGATCGTAGGCTCGGATGCCCAAGTCCGAATCCTTTTCTGTGTGCTGCAGTTGGACAACCCCTTCTTTGGCATCCCATGACGACTCAGCTTCATGAACTGGCCACCCGCTGCCCGTGTAGCTCAACTGGTCCACGACGTAGCCTCGCAGATGATGCCCCTCATGTGGCTCCGTGGCCTGCAGCCGCCTGTGCAGCTGCAAGGCTTCCAGCTCCTCGGCAAAGAGCAGAGCGTGCAGGTGCACGGCGCCGCGGCCGTGGTACTGCTGCGACGCTTGCTTCCTCTTGCCATCTTGGAATTCTAGTCTGGCTGCAAAGTTGATCCGGCATCGCTGGCCACCGGGCAACGTGGCGGCCAGCGCGTGGCTCTTCCAAGTCGAGCTCTGCTCTCCGTGCTTGCGGGTGCCTCCTGCAACCCACTCTCGCAAAAGTTCGACCATGACATGCGCCAGGTGCAACGTCTCCGAGCCGGCCAAATGTTGTCGGGATCGGAGCAAGGCCGCGAGATCGTGGAGCAAGGCCGCATGGTAGGGCGCGCTCCATTCGTAGGGTGCCCAAGTCTTGAAGAGGATGGGGTACCCACACTGCCGTTGCAAGTCCAGCACGGCTGCGTGCCTTTGCGCCCAGTAGGCCGGCGTGAAGGTGCAGCCCTTGAGCATGATGCGCATCGAGAGCTGCGGCTGCACGTGGCGTTTGGCACCGATGTCGCTCCACAGGCACAAGTCGAAGATGAATGAATTGGAGCAGCTGGTAATCGGCGGTGTAATCCAAGATCGGCCCGAGGATCTTACGCAAGAAGGAACGGCGGATGGAGCCGCGGCCCACGTCGTCCTCATCCTCGTCGTCCTCGTCGAGCAGCCCACGGCGCTGCAGCCTGCGAACGTCGGTGGCGCGGATGACCGTCTCACAGTGATCGGAGTCCCAGTAGAGGTCCGGCCACAGAGCACACTCGATGCCCGCTGCCTCGGTGCGGGATAATGGAACTGGACGGGTCAAAAGACTTTTTAACACAACTCTAGTGAACCTTAGAAGCCACCCGCATGCTGCCAAGTGACCTCCAACATCTGCAGTGGCCGCTTGCGATCGGCATCTGCAGGGTCAGGATTCTGGCATAGAAACTTTTCGTGCTGCTTGACGTATGTGCGGTACTCTGATCGGCTGCCTGCCCGCATCAAGTAGGTGAAGGCCTTCTTGGCCGGCTTCCGCTCCTGCCGCGGCAAGGCTGCGAGCTTCTCTTCGACAGATTGCTGTGACCAAGCCAAGCGAGCCAAAGCCGTGTGCACCCGGTAGCCATGCGGGGGCCTTTGGTATGGCCCGCAATCCAATTCCAGCGGCTGCAACGCCTTCACACACGAAGGCGTCAAGCCCCGCAAGGGCTCGGGGACATCCGCCACTTGCGGCACGCCATCCACGCCCTGGGGCCCGGCGCACCACTTGCACTTGTCCACCAGCGGCGGCGCTGTGCGGCGCACGTCGATCTCTTTCAGATGGCGTGGCTCCAGGCTGTGGCAGGCCTTGCAAACGGCCCAGGACCCGACTTTGCACCATTGCTCGAGCATGGCGGCCACAGGGCTCTCTTGCGCTGCAGGCAAGCCAGTGTCATTGGACTGGAGATCTTGCACGGTCTGTTGCAAGGCTGCCGGCATCGGGTGGCTCCAGCGGTGGCCGCTGTGCTTCACTTGGCGCTCCTTCTGTGGAAAGAACTTGCGGCGCACACGGGCCCGGTCCTCGGCCACGCGCTCCTCATAGAGCGTTTGCGCCTCCGCCGATGCCTCCGCGCGGACGCTGCGCCGGGCCGCCATGGCTGCTTCCCACTGATCCATGGCGTCGTCCTCCTCGGCCTTGTGCCGGGCAGCCTTGGCGCGCCGTGGCTCTTCGGCAGCTTTGTCGCGCATTTCTTGTTGCATCTCCACGGGCAACGCCTGGATGGCCATCTCCACCACATCTGGCTCCGTCGTCTGCTTCTTCCGCAAGGCTGCCAGCACGCGTCCCCGGCCAGATGCTGAAGCCAATGCTTGCCGCAAGGCTTCCTCGCTGTGGATAGCGGGCGACATGCCGAGGACTTGCAACGGAAAGTGGGCGCGCCAGGCTGCAGGCAAACGTTGCACGGCCGCTGCAAAGATATCTTTGTTGCTGGTCCAAAAGATGTTCAAGGAGCGGCTCATTTGCCTACGGCCACCGTGAGCTGCCAGGGCTTCGGACAGGGCCTCGGTGCTGCACCAGGGGCACTGCCGCGATGCGCCCTGGTATCGGGCTCTGGCGCCGCTGGCCGACGTGGAAAAAATGCAGGGCTCCCCCGGACGGCGTTGACACAAATGGGTGCTCGCCGCCGGTCGCTGCATCCGCGGCGGCTCAGCCCCCGGCGGCGCGCGCGGTGGCACCGCGTGGTCGTCCGCGCTTTGCTTGCCCCGCAAGCGGCGCGCTGGAGGCGCTGGGGCCGCACACTGCGGTACGGCGGCTGCGGGGCGCTTCGGCATGGCGGCGAACCACGGAGAGGCGCCCGAGAGCGGTGTAACAATGCTGCGGGCTGCGGCGCACCGAAGTTCTGCCCTATGTCGCGCGTGCCATGCAAGATCAACGCGCACAAGGCATGGACCCGCTTTTTTTATGTGTAACATGCGCAAGGCTCTGAGTCACATAGCCGTGAGACAACCCACATGAGGGCTCATGCTAGCTTCTGAAACACTTATTTCACGGAAGAACCTTCTCAGTGACACCGGGCGCGCGACCCACGGCCCATTTTGATCGTGCGAGTGCTGTGACAGTGCGTGGCAAAGCCTGAGCGGTGCATAAAGTTGGATAATTCCTGCTCAGTCGTTGCTCCGTCTTGCGGCCTGCCTGCGCCGCTCCACTATCAGAAGTCTCCATGCATCGCGCTTAGCACATCTACATCAAAGAGCGCGCGTGACAGGCTCGCAGGCGGTTTTAAAGCCTCTCTGTACATGGAACCTCCGGTCTACTCACCCGCGCGGCCCTCCTGCTGAGCCTTCCAGAAGGAAAGCCCTGTTGCGTGGATCAGCTCGATGCGGGTCAGGAGCTTCTCGACGATCTCTCCTTTGGGCATCTTGCTCAGCTTCAAGTTGAAGGCTGCGCGCACAGAAACCGGGAGCAGCGCCAGATGCGTCTTGAAGGCCTCCTCCGTTGCCGTCTTCGCTCGAAGGGCCGCGGCGAACTCCGCCCACGCCTCGCTCGACGACTGAATTTCCGAGAGCTGCCAGCCGGCCAGCGCGGTCTCCTGCGCTGCCTGCGCCTCCGCGACGCTGCCGCCACTCTCGTCCGGCAGGGACTCCAGCGGGGATGGGGCAGTGCGACGACGCTTGGCCTGGTCCGGCTCGCTCCCGCTGCCTTCGGTCTCGCTCTTTTCTTTCTTTTTCTTGGCCTTGGTTTCCTTTGCATCTTTCTTTTCTTTGGATTCTTTCTCTTTGTCCTTTTTCTTGCTCTTGTCCTTGGCCTCCTTCTTTTCCTTCTCTTTCTTTTCTGTCTGATCATCTTTCCGAGAACCTTCTTTCTTGGTTTTCTTGGCCGTCTTGTGGCTCTTCTTCTTTTTCTTCTTGTCGCTGCTACTGGAATCTGTGGAGCCGGTGCCCGTGGTGGATCCTTGTGTGTTGGCCGCGGCAGCAGCATGGGACGCCGATCCAGACTCCTCGGCAAGGCCGCGACGGGTTTTCCTTTTCTTCTTGCCTTGGACCTGGGCGTCGTAGGTCGCGCGCAGGGCTTTCAGAAGCTTGCCCTCGCTTTGGGGATCCTTCTGCCATCTCTTCACCGCTTCCAGGCTTTCTTCGGTGATGGCCGCTTTCATTGCCTTGGCATATGCTACCGGATGGCCGGCAAAGGCGAGCTGCTCCAAGGAGTCTACGCTCCACAAGTACAGACGCCCGGCCACGCGAGCAAGCTTTCGGAAGGCCTTCGCCTTCTTTGCTGCGTCCTCGGTCCACCACGCGAGCCAAGCGGCGACGGCTTCCTTCACGGAGTCATCGTCGCGCTCGGCTTCGTTCAGCTTGTTCAAGTGCGTGCACGCCGCAAGGTACTTGGCACCTTCCGAGCTGTCCAAAAGTTTTTGGAGCTCGACGACACCCATAGCACTCAGCATCTTGTTGATGTCCACCGCCTCGCCGAAGAGCTCCTCCATCGTGGCAGCGCCCATCTCCGCGACGCCGCTGGCTTCCGACAGCGCGATGCCAAGGCGGCTGGCCCACTCTGAGTTCTGGCTCGTGGCCCCCGCCGCGATGGTGCTCGGCTTCAGCACTTGATCCTCTTCTTGGCCGCGGCAGTAGAAGGGACAACCGACGTCGTCCACGTAGGGTGCCAACAAAAACTTCGGCAGGCGCTGGCCTGGGTCTGGCGCCTTGCCGCCCTTGCGGCCCTTCGTCGCTCCCTTGCCGCTGTTGCGTGGCTTCCCCATGGCCAAGCTCGATGGCGCAAAACCCGGGAATGATCGTTGCTCGACGTTTCGCGTGTCGCTTGAGCCCAAGGCCCCCCAATCGACGCGGATTCAATCCATGGAGCGCCGAGGCCGTGGCCCAGCGCGAAACGCCACGCGTCGAAGACATGACAGACCACACCCATCGCCCCGTGTGGCGACGCAATGTCATTCTCGTCACATGTCTGCGTTTCTGCGACGTTTCAGTCTTGCATCTTGACCCCATCAGCTGTGGCGGCCTGTTTTGGCCCGCTATGCTCTGTAGTGCTGTCAAATACGAAGCAGTGTCTATGGATAAGTCTTGCTCCGCAGTTGAGAACCTTTGGACGACACTGTCCCTGCTGTCAGCACAAATCACACCTGTTCTACATAATCACGCTGTGTGATCTCCTAGCAAAAGCTGCTGTCCACAGGTCATCAGCCGAAAGGTTCAAAGTCAGAAATGTCAATGCGTGTTCAGCCTATAGCCGAAGCACGTTCTCTCACTATGGCGCCTGGCCCGACCATCGCGCCAGGAGCCGCCGCCGCCGCCGCAGCCACAGAGGCTCGCCGCCGCATATACCTGAGGCCGGCAACACGAACCGTAGGCCCAGTTTGATCGACGCTGAAGCACGCGCCATGCGCCGTGTCTATGCTATGTGTCTACACGAATGTGTATACGCGCGCGCGTGGGGTATCTCTGTCGGACACCGAGATTTCATGTCTGTGGTCGCGCTCGCATTTATGTAGTGCACATGTGTATGCCTACACCTATACGGCATCGTGACCCACACCCGGCCCACACTAATGCCGCCGAAGGTCGCCCCCGCTAGTTACTAGAATGGGGACCTTACGATACATTCATCAGAACGCCGGTGCTCTCGAGACAATCCTCGGTGGGACCCGTATGATACGAGGTGGTTAAATAGAACACCGGCGCCCCGTGCAATAAGTTTACAGAGTTCACCCTGCCCCCTCCCGCCGGGGCCTGCCCTTACTTATATAGGGTAGAAACCGGTCGCCGTCGCGCGTTTTCCTTTGGCGTCTGCGGCGCCGCTGCCCCCAAAGGGTCCCGAGCGAGAGCGCCGAGTGTTAGGGAATCGGTGGAATAGGTCGTTCTAGTACCGGACGCAAATAGGAACGAAGAAGCGCGCTAGCCAAAGACAACAGACCGCCTGGAGGAACAAAACGTGAATTCGCATCTCGTTTGACCCCAGGGCGGGGGGTCAAACGAGATAGCGTAACTCGTTTGACCCCTTTCGCGTTTCTCGTTTGACCCCCGCCGGTGGGGTCAAACGAGATGCGACGCAACCATGTTGAATCATGAATTATAATGTCCCGTGGAAACGTCTCATATTTCCCCAAACAGTATACTGTTAGGGGTTCTCAATGCTTTAAAGAATGGTCGCCTTGGTGCTGGATGGTCTGGTCGGGTTCCCGGCCGGCTTGTCTCCCACTTCCTTCATTTGTCTCCCAGTGCTTTTCATTTGTCTCCCAGGCTTCCTTTCATTTGTCTCCCACTTCTTTTCACTTGTCTCCCAGTTCTTTTCATTTGTCTCCCAGGCTGGGTGCTTGTGGTCGGGTTCCCGGCTGGCTTGTCTCCCACTTCCTTTCATTTGTCTCCCACTTCTTTTCATTTGTCTCCCAATTCTTTTCATTTGTCTCCCAGGCTGAATGGTTGTGGTGGGGTTTTCGGCTGGCTTGTCTCCCACTTCCTTGCATTTGTCTCCCACTTCTTTTCATTTGTCTCCCGCTTCTTTTCACTTGTTTGTCTCCCAGGCTGGGTGCTTGTGGTGGGGTTTTCGGCTGGCTTGTCTCCCACTTCCTCTCAATTGTCTCCCACTTCTTTTCATTTGTCTCCCTGGGTGCTTGTGGTCGGGTTCCCGCGGGTTCCCGGCTGGCTTGTCTCCCACTTCCTTTCGCTTCTTTTCACTTGTATCCCAGTTCTTTTCATTTGTCTCCCAGGCTTGGGTGCTTGTGGTGGGGTTTTCGGCTGGCTTGTCTCCCACTTCCTTTCAATTGTCTCCAACTTCTTTTCATTTGTCTCCCTGGGTGCTTGTGGTCGGGTTCCCGGCTGGCTTGTCTCCGGACTTGTACTTCACTGTTACAAGTTCTTTACCCCTATTTCTAACCTAATGCATGCATAAGCGGGGGGTAAATTTACCCCCCAGAGTTGCCATAACCATAAGCCGGCTATTTCCTCAAGACACTCTACTCCTCATACCTTTTACCAGTGCTTATCCTACACTGCGGACGCCCTAGTGTATGCACAGTCCTTGTGATGCCAGAAATATCCAGAAATGCTTACCCCTCTTTCCGGCACAAGGCATACATAAGCGGTGGGTAAATTTAAAAATTTAACCACCAGAATTGCAATAACCATAAGCCGGCTATTTCCTCAAGACACTCTATATTCCATATACCCTTTACCCGTGCTTCTCCTACACTACGGACGCCCAGTGTATGTACAGTCCGTGTGATGTCAGAAATGCTTACCCCTCTTTTCGACTCAAGGCATACAAAAGCGGGGGGTAAATTTACCCCCCTTCGTGCCTGCCAACGAGTGCGCCCGTGTTGTTCCAATGTACCCTTCCCAGTCGGCGATGTCACATTTACATTCTTCAGCGCAAAGTGTGTACGTAGCAACCTTTCTCCCAAAACATGTAATCACTACATGCTTTGCCGACTATGTAACTAGTACATCCGGTGCAATTCGGCTAGCTTTCGACCTCCTCCCCTGGCCTTAAGTCATTTGTCTCCCAGGTCTGTCAATGGTGGTGTCCGCCCTTTTCCGTTGCCATGCCATGCAACATTTCTCTTCATTTGTCTCCCAGGTCTGTCACTGCCGGCCCGCCCTTTTCCGCTGGTTCTATTCATCATTTGTCTCCCAGGTCTGTCACTTGCGGTGTCCGCCCTTTTCCGCTGGCGATGCAACATTTCTATTCATTTGTTTCCAAGGTTGGTCACTGTTGGTGTCCGCCCTTTTCCGCTGGCTTTTCTGCTGGCCATGTAGCATTTCTATTCATTTGTCTGCCACATCTGTCACTGCTGGTGTCCGCCCTTTTCCGCTGGCCATGTAGCATTTCTATTCATTTGTCTCCCAGGTCTGTCACTGCTGGTGTCCGCCCTTTTCCGCTGGCGATGCGACATTTCTATTCGTTTGTCTCCCAGGTCTGACTAGTGGTGTCCGCCCTTTTCCGCTGGCCATGCAGCATGTCTATTCATCTCCCAAGTCTGTCACTGCTGGTGTCCGTCCTTGTCCGTTGGCCATGCAGCATTTCTATTCATGTGTCTCCCAGGCCTGTCACTGGTGGTGTCCGCCTTTTTCCGCTGGCCATGTAGCATTTCTATTCATTTGTCTCCGAGGTCTGTCACTGCTGGTGTCCGCCCTTTTCCGCTGGCGATGCAACATTTCTATTTGTTTGTTTCCCAGGTCTGTCACTGGTGGTGTCCGCCCTTTTCCGCTGGCCATGCAGCATGTCTATTCATCTCCCAGGTCTGTCACTGCTGGTGTCCGCCCTTGTCCGTTGGCCATGCAGCATTTCTATTCATGTGTCCCAGGCCTGCCACTGGTGGTGCCCGCCCTTTTCCGCTGGCATTTCTATTCTTGCGTCCGCTGGTGTGTCCTTGTCTATTGGCCATGAAGCATTTCTATTCATTTGCCTCCCAGGTCCGTTACTGCTGGTGTCCGCCCTTTTCCGTTGGCCATGTAGCATTTCTATTCATTTGTCTCCCAGGTCTGTCACTGCTGGTGTCAGCCCTTTTCCGCTGGCGATGCAACGGTTCTATTCATGTGTGTTCCAGGTCTGTCACTGCTGGTGTCCGCCCTTTTCCGCTGGCCATGCAGCATTTCTATTCATTTGTTTCCCGTGTCTGTGACTGGTGCTGCCGCCCTTTTCCGCTGGCCATGTAGCATTTCTATTCATTTGTCTCCCATGTGATTTCTTTCTTTTTGCTGCGCTGGTGTTTTCTGCCCTGTCCGCTGGAACAGGTTCACCTGTGAAAGGTTCTTGCTCCTTTGAAAGGGGTGCGTGATTGTCTCCGGGTTTGCATTCCTGCCACACTGTGTAACTCTCTCAGCTTTGTTTCCCTTTTCGGGCAAGCGTTGGATGAATGACCGGATTGGATTTCGGCGTTCAGTTGGGACGGAGGGCATACGTCAGGCACCAAAAACCAGTTTCATGTCACGTCCTTCGCTCCTCATGCTTTTATTTCTTGTCCTCACGTGGTCAGCTCCCCGTTGATTGAGCAGCATGACCAGCATCATGTTCGCACTTGAAGAATAATTCCCCAAAAGGTTTGCTGTTGGGGCTTGTCAATTCTTTCTTAAGATGTGTCCGCCCGCTCTGTACGCAATCCTTTGTCTCCCAGCTCTGGGCGTCGCAAGCTCTAGTTTCGGTTTGAAAAGCGCAAACTGTTTGGGGTCTACGGTGGTGTAATTTTTTTGGGTTCGCGCCACGGGCTCGGAACCAAAAGGTCCCGGGCTCGACCCCCCCTCTCCGCTCTGTCCAGGTCACACGCGCATGTGTGCATGAGTGTAAAGCATGTGTGTCTGTCTGCGTGTATGGACGTGTGTCCATGATTATTACGGCACGTATGTGAGCATATATGTTCGTCGGCGTGGGCACGCGTGTGCAGGTAAACGCATGTGAGAGAGAGAGATATATATATATAGATATATATATATATAGATGCGCCCCGCCCACTCCACTTCGCGCGTCTCGCGTCTTGGGATGGGACCAATTGGTTATGACGTCATGCAACGTTCGATCTCCGGCCTCGTCACCCCAAGATTCCTTAAGAGCAGAAGCCCCCAAAAGCCAATGTAAAAGAGGACCGGTTCAAACGTCGCAGGGTCTGAGTAATACGTTCTTAAAAGAGGTCTCCGGAGATAGGCCCCGGCAGGGCCCGAAACTTAGAGAATTCGGGCGCCGATCCCGGAGAGGCCGGTTCCGGGCGCGGACCGCCAGCGCGGAATCGCCGAGTAAGCGTTTTTAATTGGA